AGTGTGAAGGAAGCAGTGAGAAGTGAGAAGTGTGAAGTGTGAAGTGTGGAGTGTGAAGTTTGGAGTGCGAAGAGTGCAGTGTGAAGTGTGGAGTGTGGAGTGTGAAGACTTTGCTTCGTCTCTCGCTGAAAAAATCAAACGGTTGTCGAGGGAAGGACACGGTCGGGACAGGGTGTCTTTGAACTATAGGCCATTTATGTTTGGGAAACTTCCGCCGCCGGCTTGCCCGGGTCTATGTTAAGTGTTAATGACTATTGCAATTCATCGTCACTAGTCTAAACAATCACAAAATGCTTCTGACTATTTTAATATATTGTATTGTTTATAGTTGTTTTTGCTAGTATTTAGTAGCAACACTACTAAACTTTAACACATGATTTATGCTTGTGTTTAATATTATTTAGTACTAACATCTATCAACATCTGTTTTTTGAATGTAGCCACGGGTGACCAAAAACCCCCCCCTGTCCCTGGCGGTCCCTGACCCTCCAACTCCGCGGAGCTGCTCGTTCTCCTGGGCCTTGAGCTGGAAGAAATGTGGAAATGGGAGATCCGATGAGGATGAAAATACTCGGAATATACTCGGAATATACTCAAAAAAAAGTGAATTTGTGATGTGTCAAACCAGATCAAAGTCTAAGCAGTCCGAATTCCATTGGGATAATCTACACGAAATTTTGGGATAGCCACCCATTTCATCGGGATGTACAGCGACGGACACGAACTTGGAACCCCCATTTTGGAGTTTTGAAAAAACGCAGGGACCTAACCATAATGTTTGCAATGACACGAGCGGCCACTTGTTCTAACAGCACCCTCACAACCTCTTAATCTCCATTTTCGGGAATATAGAGTACTAGGAATTACCATCTCTTGTTTTTTGATGGGAATGTATCTAGTGGGAAGATAAAGGATATGATACAGCAACACTATGATATTTGGGTCTGTCTCAAAACGTGGGATGGGTCCCAACCCCACATCTTGAAAAAGCTATGAACGTGCATTCCTCCGAACGAGCAAACCGAAAAAGATTGCAAAGAGATACAATCCTAGTGTCCCATGAGCCAACAAACCATCCAACTTCATACATCAAGAGTTTGACCATGGATAAAACCATCCCATTTTTGGACCCCAATCTACCCACTAGATTTACTGAGTGTCCCAATTTGACTTCACGTCCCCAATAAACCACCCATCCAAAACTGGAGCCCCCCTGCGAGCTGCCGGTGGCTGCGATCCACTTCATCGTCAGGGCCAACTGCAGCATGCCCGGCCTCGGTAAACCGCCGTCGAAAAAGGGGAGTGGAACAAAATCCAGCCACAAAGGATGATGTTCATACTATGAATAGTGATAATACTGATAACAATAGTAGTAGTAACAAAAATAGTGATGATAATAATGATAATAATGAATGATAATGATAAATATATATAATTGTATAGTAATGATATTGAATGATAACAATCAAACTCACTGAACCCAAAAGCGCTAACCACTTGGACACCCGGGCAGGTCATAGGCATAGGTGGAGCCAGCCCGTCGGGCCGCCACTCGCTTCGCCTGGTACATGCTGAGCATGGCATGGTCCGCCACCTGCAGAGACACGGAAAAGGCCAAGGGTTGGGCCAAACCTATAGGATCCTATAGGTATATATAGCTAGGTATAACATGGCATTACTATTGGATTTATAGGGTATAAATGGGATTAAACAGGTATGAATGGGATGCAATCACTGACTTGACGCTGGGAGTGATTCTTGTGAACAAATTCTTGTGAATGGCTAGTTCTAACCGATAGCCAAGTAGAACCAACTATACACCCTCCCAGCAAGAAGGGCTACAACCACCTGAGATATCTGCCAGCTTTTTCTATGCTGAAATAAACGATTGAAACTGGCAGTTTTTGGCCCATCTAAGGGTCACGAATTTCAACCCCTGCACATATCCGACATGTCAAGGCCGGGAAAACTGCGACAACACGGGGTCCATGGGAATTTAGTCCTTGCAGTGGGTCTATGGAATGCAGTGACAATCACTACCATCCATCCCTTGTGTGCAGTACCCACCACCAGAAAATGGGTATGGCCCGTATGGCTTAAAAATATCTTAAAGATACTGTACGTTATCAAAGGATGTGTTCTTGAGTTTGAGCGTGTACAGTAGTCCCAAAATCGGGGCAACAATTTTGAAGTGTGTTAAAGTTGGTATGGGTCAAGCAAATGAGATACAAATGGGCCCACAGAATTAGTCATGTCTGGCCTGTCTGGCGGACTAAGCCATACCCATTGCATGGATACTTTAATCCCATTAGTTCTCATTTATTGCTGGCTATTAACTATACTTGAGAGGGGGAACACGAAAGGTAGGTAAGCAAGAAAGGAACCGAAGAAAAAATGAAGGGGAGAGGGCAGGGAAAAAAACATAAAGTGGAGTCTGGTAAAAGCGACGCGGCCAGTTTCTTTCCAAAAATATGAAGGGGAGTCTGGTAAAAGCGGCTGAAAGGCTTCGGCGATGTGGTTGGGGTTGGTGGCGGTTGTGGTGTTGGTGGTGTTGGTGGTGCTGGTGGTGTTGGTGTTGTTGGTGTTGTTGGTATTGGTGTTGTTGGTGTTGTTGGTGGTGGTAGTGTTTCTGGTGTTGTTAGTGTTGTTTGTGTTGTTGGTGTGGTTGGGTTTGTTGGTGGTGTTGGTGGTGTTGGTCGTGTTGTTGGTGTTGGTATTGTTTGTGTTCGTGTTGTTGTTGTTGTTGTTGTTGCTGTTGTTGTTGTTGCTGCTGCTGTTGATGGTGTTGTTGTTGTTGTTGTTGATGTTGTTGTTGTTGGTGTTGTTGTTGTTGTTGTTGTGTGTTGTTGTGTGTTGTTGTGTGTTATGGTGTGTTGTGGTGTGTTGTGTGTGTTGTTGTGTGTTGTTGTGTGTTGTTGTGTGTTGTTGTGTGTTGTTGTGTGTGTTGTGGTGTGTTGTGGTGTGTGTTGTGTTGTTGTGTGTTGTTTGTGTTGTTGTGTGTTGTGTGTGTTGTGTTGTTGTTGTTGTTGTGTGTTGTTGTTGTGTTGTTGTGTTGTTGTGTGTTGCGTTGTTGTTGTGTGTGTTGTGTGTTGTTGTGTGTTGTTGTATAGTGTTGTTGTGTGTTGTTGTGTGTGTGTTGTGTGTAGTGTGGTTTGTTGTGTTGTTGTTGTGTGTTGTTGTGTGTTGTTGTTGTGTGTTGTGTGTTGTTGTGTGTTGTTGTGTGTTGTTGTGTGTTGTTGTGTGTTGTTGTGTGTTGTTGTGTGTTGTTGTGTGTTGTTGTGTGTTGTTGTGTGTTGTTGTGTGTTGTTGTGTGTTGTTGTGTGTTGTTGTGTGTTGTTGTTTGTTGTTGTGTGTTGTTGTGTGTTGTTGTTGTTGTTGTTATTGTTGTCATTCGTTGTTTTTGTAGTTGTTGTGGTTGTTGTGGTTGTTGTGGTTGTTGTGGTTGTTGTGGTCGTTGTGGTTGTTGTGTGTTGTTGTGTGTTGTGGTGTGTTGTTGTGCGTTGTGGTGTGTTGTTATGTGTTGTTGTGTGTTGTGTGTGTTGTGTGTGTTGTGTGTGTTGTGTGTGTTGTGTGTGTGTATTGTGTGTGTTGTGTGTGTTGTGTGTGTTGTGTGTGTGTGTGTTGTGTGTGTTGCGTGTGTTGCGTGTGTTGTGTGTGTTGTGTGTGTGTTGTGTGTGTTGTATGTGTGTTTTGTGTGTGTGTTGTGTGTGTTGTGTGTTGTGTGTTGTGTGTTGTGTGTGTGTGTTGTGTGTGTTGTGTGTGTGTGTTGTGTGTGTTTTGTGTGTTTTGTGTGTGTTGTGTGATGTGCGTTGTGCGTTGTGCGTTGTGCGTTGTGCTTTGTGCGTTGTGCGTTGTGCGTTGTGCGTTGTGTGTTGGTGTTGTTGTTGTTGTTGTTGTTGTTGTTGTTGTTGTTGTTGTTGTTGTTGTTGTTGGTCGTCGTCGTTGTTGTTGTTGCTTGCTGTTGCTGTTGCTGTTGGTGTTGTTCTTGTCGGTGTTGGTGTTACCCCTGCAGCGTTTTTGCTCGGTTCCGTAGTGGCCGAAAATCGTCAAATCGGTGGTGTTTTCGCGTGTTTTTGCATCGCTCGGAGCAAAAAACACCGTAAATACCAATGTTTTTGGCGGGTCGGAAGCCCAAAACCACGGTATTTACGATGTTTTTTGCCTCTGGTAGTAAAAAGCACGGTATTTACAGTGTTTTTTGGCCAGCACCTAGCAAAAACACTGGTATTTACGGAGGTTTCACCATGTAGCAAAATGTGGTTTCTTGATCCGAAAAGAACAAAAATACTGTAAATTACAATGTTTTGAGTCTGCTCTTAGGGTGCGTGGGAGGTGTGGAAGGGGGGGGGGGGGTTACTAAAATGACTAGCAATCTCCTGAAGAATCAGGTAACGGGGCTGGCCGCCCTCCCCTTTACTTCGTAAAGTAAAAGTCAAGGTAGCCCCTCTGGAGCTACCTTTCGTGATAAATCCCCTTGTGTGACGGTTTTTTATGTTTGAATCCCAATTCCGAATAGATGTTGAAGGAATCTAGTTGCAAGATCGTCACTTGTTGAAACTTTTGGGGCTGAATATGGACACGGAAAATTATGTGAGCAACACCTATCTTCCCCCAGCAGGCGCCCCGACATGAGGATGGTCTGTTTGCACCACAGCCGCACCCTCTTTGGCAGCCTCCCATCCTTGGGTAATGACTTTGGCGCTGATGTGGGAGGATGGGGAGTTTGCAATGATTATTATGTCTATGACATTCTGGAACAGATTACCCCAAGGTTTCAGCAGACAAAAATAACATTCCCATTGATTGTTCAAGTCTTTGTTCTGCTCAAGGAATGTGTTTCTGGAAACCCAAACCTAGCAGGTTTCCATCTCACCTTAGCACCTGATGTAGTCTGGATTTCTCAAAAAATACGGGTATGTCTGAAAATGGGGTATACCCCCAATTATAGCCATTTAGTAGGGATAATGATCATTAACCATTGGGTGTAGGGGTACACTATTTTCAGACAAACCCATACCTGGATTCCTGGTTGCGCCTCATGGTGAAAATGCATGATCCCTGGGGTTAGAACCCTTTCTTTCTGGCGTTCCCTTGGGTTCCCTGGCGCAGTGGGAAGCCGGTGATGGGATCGGGGAACTCTCTCAGCATCTTGGGTTTCAAGAAGCCACCACCTGCAGCCCGACAAGGACAACAAGAAATCCCTTTGTGTTGGGCCATTCAACTGGATGTCACCAACAAAAATGCGGGATCTAACCCACAAAAGTAGAGGAAAATCACTTGTGATTTCACCACCAACCAGAACATCTGTTTGATCCTTAAGTTTGGAGTGGGTAGTTTGAGGGTTTACATGCCCAGCTATCGATACGGGCACACGGGGAATTCAACCAATAAGGGATTGATGTAACCATCACTCAACGCGGGGGGCCCTCAATGGGGCCGTCATCCAAGCCACGCAGGGAAGACAACGAAGTTCGCAGGATTTCCAGTCCACTTCCTGCGAAGTTTGCCATGGCAAATCGTGACAAACACATACCAAAATTACACAAACCCTCTGAGCCACAATGTCCCAAAGGCTGTGTCATTGCCAGCCCACTTGGCGTTCCACTCAATGAGCACACGTGTTTTTGACTTTGAAAGAACATAGACTTATACTGCATGCCATATGACGCTTCAACCTGCTTCGACTTTCAGGTTTTATTGTGCAGGAGTGCAGGAGCAAGTCTTCGCGCTGGAGAGCCGGCAGGATGGGGGTTCAGAACATGACAAACATAAACCAACGCAATGCCGATGCCACATGTTACACATGTTGCTTGTTGTTGGCAACCCAGCATAGAAGTGTCCAACCTCCACCGGTGCGATGATGCACTTTGATCCTGGGTGCAGCCGACAAACCGACAAAATGCGGCTTTATCATCATATCTTCCATTGAAATGGCCATATATGTCAGATAAATGCTGGGTACATCTATTGTTTCCAGACAAAGCCAAAAATCAAGTTCTATCCTATATCACAGTATCCTATGATGTTCGCGTTGTATCCTCATTTTTTTTCCATTAAAATGCTTGGCTTTATACCAGGCCGCGTCTGTTCCACACACAACCCCTGCAAGCAGCCGCACTCGATCTCATCGATGCAAAGCTTAATCACGTCCGATCCACGATGCCTGTCAGGGCCGTTGGTGGATGCTCAGGAAAGTACCAAAAAACAAACAAAAAACATGGAAAAGTTGGGTGACCCCCCTCAAAAATACGTGAGAAATTTGGTTGACCCCCTCCAAAAAATATGTTCTTTGAGAACTATTACCACCAAACAATAAGGGAACCGCAGCTAAGGTGCCCCAAATGGCTGCTGATCGTATCGAAGATGCGTTGCTCCACGCTCTCCAGCCTCGGCGTGTTCGTTTACCAAAAGGCTAGCAGCGAGAATCACTTGGTGGATCTATGTCTATAGGGTTGCAGGAGTTGTGAACTTTGAGGGTTCCGGAAAAGAGAAACATGATGAAAACTGATGGAAAAACGATGGAAACCATGGAAAACAATGGAAAACAATGGAAAAATGATGAAAAACCATGGAAAACGATGGAAAACAAGGAAAAACAATGGAAAACGAGGAAAAACAATGGAAAACGATGGAAAACGATGGACAATGGCTCGCTCTCACGACTTGCCTTTGACCCCCCGGCGTGCAGTCCATTTCGCTCAGAAAGTGAAGGAAGACTCGGCTCGTCACCGTGGGGCCTTGCAGCGAAAGCACCAATCATTCCAAGTCTGAGAAGCCAAAGATCATCAAAGATCCCAAAGGTGCTATGGCTGTGGCATGCTATGTGGAGAAAATGTGGAGAAAATGTGGAGCAAAGTCTCGGAAGTCTTGCCACGCCATTGGTACGGCTGAGCTCCCGGGCCAAACTTCGCCACCCGAGGATCCAACATGGCCTGATGGCGAAGCGGCGAAGTGTCATCCCCAATGGCCCAATTGGTTTCCCAAGTTTCCTGACCAATCTTGGATGATTTCGGGGGTCCCCGACTTACGAACCCCAGCATTTTTTGGTCTTGGAAAGTTGAGATGAAAAAGAATGCACCCTCTTTTGAACACAAAATCAACATAAAATTGATTCCAGGTGTCTTTCATCAAACATGTTATCGACCACAGACCCTGCACCCAGTGGAAATTCATATCTGAAACCCTCAAAAAAAAACTAGAAGCCCTCTCTTCGGTAAAATATTCCTTTAAGTATATATATATATGTGTGTGTGTTCTCCCGGGCATAAAAGCAGTCACAAGTATAGTGACCCCGTGACCCCCCCAAAAAAATGTCGAATAGGAATGTCCACTCCAAAAAATAGTTCAAACCGTGCATTTGTCGCGCCGCACTGTTGGCCCTGGGCTTAGGGGCAATGATGTTTGCCACGTCTTGTTTTTTCTCATGAAGTCTCACCGAGGTGCTACTACGCAAGCAAGGAACCTTGTAAATGCTACAAGATGATGCTCTTTTGCCTGATATCTGCTAGAAAAAACTAAACAAGTTGGATACAGGTGAAGTGAAGTGAGAAAGGTTGCTATAAATTTGTATATATATATATAACATTTATACTATATACATATATACAGTATATATATATATGTATATACAGTATATATATATATGTATATATGTATATTATAGTATATGTATTGATCTTCCACATCTTCAGACCTCTTCGCCACCAGAATTCGTTCACTGGGCGCTCCCCGCGTGCTCAACCTCTTCCAAGGCCACGTCCAAGCTGTCCGTGATGCACTGACTGAAGGCATCGGTGCTGACACCTGCAAGGAGCGATTCCCCCGTCGTTTTGATGGGAAAAAAACCATCATGTATAAATTCTATACAATAAATACTTCATCTATATACTGGAATCAATGATTCTCGTCATTACCATTTGGACCATGTTTAATTACCAAAGGATAGCGAACAGGGGACTTAAAAGCGACCCGTTTCTAGCTGGGATCCCCGAGAACTCAGAGCTCCAGACTACTTGGGTTTGTGCAGGTCCAGTGAACTAAGTGGATATATTACAGTATAACCATAACCATAGGGTATATATAATTATAGAGGGGATATATCATGATATATCATGTTATATCCCAACAACCATGGGGGTTTATAAGAACCATTGTCAAAAACCCACTTGCGTAACAGCTGGATTCCACCAGAATCTCCTCCTGCAACTCCCATGTCCAGCTGTGCTCCCCCTGGGCCCCAAGCGTGAGAGGTATACTGCACGCATCAGCAGCTCTGGAGCAGGCGCCTTGGAGCAAGTGAATCATTCCAAATCTGGTTCAAGATATTGGTTGGTTGAGAAGAGTTCATGGATGATGATTATCTCCAATATTCAATCTAGACTCTCTCTATATATATAATTATATATATATAGTCATTTATCTATTAATTGATTTGTTTATTTATTCATTCATCTATTTATTATTAATTATATGTAGATATAAATAATTATATGTAGATATAAATAATTATATGTAGATATAAATATGTTATAATATATATATAAAATATAATAGATTATATTATATATACTATTATATATATTATATTATATTATATTATATTATATTATATTATCTTATATTATCTTATATTATCTTATATTATATTATATTATATTATATTTTAAGTTCAACTTAGAAAAACGCGTCGCCACCACATCTAGTCGTCAACGTGTACCAGTATTTACGCAAGGCAACGCAAGGAAACTATTGTTATCTTGTTGACTCGTTTTACGTGTCACAAAATGTTCTTATTAAAACCGCGTTCATGAGCATGTTCATTTCCATAAAGTGCGGTGGAGTGAGTCGCAGCACGCCTTTTTTTTAACACGATGGGCTAGCAAGTACGTGGTCTTCTCCTCGCCACGCTGAACACTTGTATCACAGCAGGAGTAGTGCAATGGTTGCACATCCAATGCATTGCAAAGAAAAAATTGTAAAACCCAAATGAATGGCCGGATCCAATCGACCCCAGCCAGGAAAAAAGGGACAGACATCCTTATGATATCTGGGCTGTATCATCACAAGGTAATGTACAATCTTGACCAGTGAAAAGAGGTTGCCGGATAGGGACATCACAAATGTCAGCAATCGACTCAAGAAGTAAAAGAGAGTCGTTCAAAATGTCAAGATTGTCCTTGTGCAACTGCATATCGTAAAAAGTGCCAAGCCATGCTTTGAAGCGCCGTAAGCCGTCGTAAGCTGGCCAGATCAAGGGTCGGTGTGGGGCCCATGCCTGTTGTTTCAAGGTGGTAAGTTTTAGTGGAATGGCCGGCATGTTGATCTCCGAGGGAATGGACGGCTCGCACCCTGGGAACAACTCTGTTTCTAAAATTGCCAAGGCTTTTGAACAAGCTGACCAAAGAGTGTAGAGGGATTGCAAGTGAATAGGGGCGCCAACTCTGTCAAGGATGGCATGCAAACACATGCAGATGTCTTCAATGGCCACTATGAAACCTGTCCGAAAGTCGTCGGCCGTTGGTGCTGACGCAACAGATGTTCGAAGAAAGTGGAGCACCACCAGGAGCAATGTCATGGTATTAACCATGGTTGGCATAGCCACCCTAGGGATGGGTGGGCGGGTGAAAAAGAAAAACACACAAGCACAGTTCAAGGATCTACCAAGTCAAAAATGCTCTTGTGTGTGGGCACTAGCCAAAATGGCACGGATGCAAAAGGATGGATGTACAAGCATGAGACAAAACAAAACACTGCTGCAAGTCAGGCCATGACATCACTGTTGTTTGTGTTGTTTGGTTTTGGCATCAGGTTTATTGATCGCCACCGTACAGGCGTAGTTTCTTTTTGGACGATGTACTAATACACGAGACGATAGACGGAGTATGAACGCTCAAGATGTTTTCAACATCTTGTTTCTAAGGAGAACTTAAAGTACTATCAGAGGGCTGACAGTAAACTTAAGTTCAACTTAGAAAAACGCGTCGCCACCACATCTAGTCGTCAACGTGTACCAGTATTTACGCAAGGCAACGCAAGGAAACTATTGTTATCTTGTTGACTCGTTTTACGTGTCACAAAATGTTCTTATTAAAACCGCATTCATGAGCATGTTCATTTCCATAAAGTGCGGTGGAGTGAGTCGCAGCACGCCTTTTTTTTAACACGATGGGCTAGCAAGTACGTGGTCTTCTCCTCGCCACGCTGAACACTTGTATCACAGCAGGAGTAGTGCAATGGTTGCACATCCAATGCATTGCAAAGAAAAATTTGTAAAACCCAAATGAATGGCCGGATCCAATCGACCCCACTTGACCGCAAGCAACGTAATCACTGCGGCGAAAGGAAAAGGAGATTCTTGCAAGTTAATTGATGCATGAAAGAATGAACTGGACCGCAGCTTCAACCTCACCCTTCACAGCTCTTTGTCCAAGGGATTCGATCTCTTTGTCACTTCTGGATGGTTCATCTGCAGGGTTCGACTTGGAAGGCACTCTTGCATACCAAGGGATGATGGAGAACTCATCCTCCAATGTGAGTAGCAGATTGATGAGTTTCAGAGGTGTTTTGGTTCTCGCTGACCCAGAAACTGCAACATCTCTTGCGCTGTTGTTGTCAACAAAAATCACAACGGGTCGGTCCATCAAGTCGTCCTTCCAAAGTTTAACTGCAACGATGACCGCAAGGAGTTCAGCTTCGAAAATCACAGTCTGCTTGTGTCCTGGGAAACCAAGGACTGCCAGGTCATCTTTGTCGAGGCAGTATGAGAAGTGCCGTAAGGCTTTGCCATTTTCGTCATACAAGACCCCACCCACGCCAGCCGGCCAAGATGTGTCAGAAGGTTCGAAGCTGGCATCAGTAAATACAAACCGGGGCTTGTTAGTGCCAGAGATGATTTCCTTGGACTTACCTGCGTTCAAAACTTTTGAAGGTGGAAAGCGCCGCTGCTAAGGCATCACAAACCTTGCTTGAGTTGCTGTTGTAGGCATGGAGAGTCACTTGTTTGAGACATATCTTGCTGGCCCTTCCCCAAACCTGTGAGTTTGCAAACTGCATCCTTCCACGCAGAGACAGCGCAGCGGCACTAGAGAGTGTGCCTTCTCTCAACGCTCTGTCGATGCAATCGCTGAGTTCCAAGATCCTCTTCTCGGTGTTCTGCATGAGCACTATTCCCTTCGTCCAGTTGTCAAGAGATATCTGCACACCCAGAGCTTTGAAGATGTCACCGAAAGGGAGATCTTTGTCACCACCAGATACCCTCCATCCCAACAGATCGAAGAAGGTTTGCACACAACCTGAAGTGATCGTAGCACAAGCCTCACGAGAAAGACAGATAAAGTCGTCGAAATAACTTGACCAAATCAGACCTAAGCCCTTGGCTCCAAGGTACCAGAGGGAGTGTGCCACTCTCAAAAAGGAATAGACAGACTTGGTGGCCCCGAAGGGCAGGGCCCTCATTTGATAGACTTCAGCCCTGTCGGTGCCTGGGTTGTAGACTGCTATATAAGCAGCCCAAGCTGAAGATTCCGACACGATCATTTGTCTGTAGGCCGACGCAAGATCGAATGTCTTTCCCAGCCACCTGTTTGAGCGGTCACCAATGTTGATCTCTCTGAGAAGCGCTGCTACGAAGTCGAGGGTGTGGAGAAAGGGTGATGCCCCCGCTTGTACGCAGCCGTTCACCCCAGAGGCAGAAAAATCGTCAATCAATCTGACCTTGTCACCTTGCCGGATGCCGAATCTTCGATTGACGATGGCGTGTTCAGGCAGGTCTTCCCAATCGATAGGCCCACATATCCAGCTGTCTGTCTTCTCGTCCAGGCTCTTTCGGTATACCTCGGCATCAATTTCGCCGTCACCAGAGCTTCTCATGCCGGCCAGGGTCGCATCTCTGGATGCCTTGGCACCTTCTTTCAGTTCACTGATGGATTTGGTAGCTGGTTTGAAGGCTGATGTCATCGATGGAACTTGGCCCACAGAGCCCACAAGATCGACTCCCTTCAAGAGCTCATCTACTACTTCCAGATCATCATAGTTGTACCGCTCCAGAAGGGCTTTCCAAAGAAGGATTCGTTTCCCTTGCAAAATAGCTCTGGCATGATCTGGCAGGGCCGCGTGGATGTTCCGCTCGGCAAGGCTGGACCATTCCGAGAGGGTCTGGAGCCTGGTTTGGCATAGCTGTTTTGGGGTGCACCTCAAGTTCCACTCAATCGCTTCTTCAAGAGCGCGTGGCAGGACGGCGGTTCTATTGGGATGGGTGACCAGCTTTCACTGCTTCTTCGACAAATTCTTCAGGGGTGTGATAAATCCCGAAGGCCATGTCTTTCTGAGGGACAGTGTCAGACATATCCCCCCCATTTGTCCGCACAGGTGTTCGTCTCAAATATTTGGCGCCAGGAGGAAGATCTTGCCAGCTGGACTGCAGTGAACTTCCTGGCAAGCAAGGGTCCGTGTCATGTAGTGGCCGCTTGCGGTGATGAATCGCCTTGAACTCCGGCACTAATGGTGGCAGTTTGGATGCCCTTGGCTGGGTGGATGTGACTGCACGCAGGTGCTGCAGCGTCGGTCCCTCGCTCAGTTGCACTGCAGGTGGGAGCCAACCTTTGGAGATTGCTACTGTTGCGAAGACACCGGCAATCGCATAGGCCAGGTCAACAGGGTAGGCAGCTTCCTCTTTGGTACTGAACTGCTGTTTGTCCATGTCGTAGCCCCAAGGCTTGTGGATGTGCTGCTTGGATTGACCCGGGCACGTCCTGCAGATGGTGAAAAATCCATCATGGTTGTGGAGCAAAGCGGTCCACTTCGGTCTCTGTCCACCGTATGCGCAAGCTTGGTGGGCTGTAAACTTGAGCAGTTGCGTCAGCGGCCTTGCAAAAGAGGTCAACCAATACAAAGAACTTCTGGGGTTCTCTATGCAAATGATCTTCCCGTGCTCGACACAGTAGAGCGCCACTTCTGTAAGGAAGGCATACAGCTTGTTGGCCGCGCTCACCCGGGCTCTCTGGCTCCACGTCAATGTGGGTAGCCCGTCGGGGTAAGATGGTGAGCGCAATGGTGGCGGTCCACAACGTTGTTTGGAGCCCGGCACTTGAATTGGGATGTTGCGAGCAAGGCTGCAGGTGCCGCATGGCGGTGCAGCAAACACTCCAAAGCATTGATCTGCTGCGACCCATTTCCAGAAAAGTGATTGACCACTGTCTGTCGTGAGGTCGGCAGTGATTACTTTTGCAACATTGTTGTTGAGAACATGGTCAACGCCAAAGCATCCCGTAAGCCCCAAATAACGTAG